ATGACCTGTGTATGTGCCAGTTGAATCAACTGTGTTACCTAATTAAATGTTTCCTTTAGCTCAGAGCCTTACAAACATTTTAATCGACTGCTCTTAATTCTTTCAAAAACAAAACCAATTTGTCAGCCTCTAGAAGGACAACAGAAGGTTTAATGCAGTGCAGTAAAACTTCTGAATTGTCCTCACACAGCTCCCCATGGGACATCAGCAATCATTACCATCTAATACGTTTCACACCACAGACTGTTTAAAACACAACAGAGAAAGTGCGTGAGCCAATGCAGATCACAATTTAATACTCAACAGGAACAGGGACACAATAAAAGCAGCCTAGACTCTTTTCCCCCACTAGAATACAAGATGTTCTTAAAAACAGAGACGTGGGAAAAAAAAATCACTCTTCTGAGATCAGGAACTGAAAGAAAGAGTCTTCCAACCCCAGTAAGAGCTACACTAGCCTCACCAGCTTTGCACACTCATCCATTAAATGATCTACTTCTTCCCACAAGGAGTGGTTACAAAACCACAGGTCTCTGCATGATCTCTTTTTGATCAATGCCACTCTTCTCACCAGCCTCGTTAAATCCTTATTCTGCTTCCTTCTTTCACAGCCCAGCCTGCCATCACACCTACCCGTCTCAGGCTCTCTCTGGCTGTAGGATCAAGTAGCCAACCCCCTAAGAGTACAGACTATCACCTGAGCAGCACCCAAACTCCTGTCCCTCCTGCCCAAAGTCTGATGGTCTCCCTCCAGGGCCCATGTGACCCATCTAGGAAGTGCAGGCGAGATGCTCACCCTGCTAACATACACCCTACGAGACCTATGTTCCCTTTTCACTTGGAAAAGAACCAACTGCTTCTCAGTTTGCTCTGTTACAAGGACCCGCCACTGCCACCAAAGCCCTGCTGTTAAGTGACCATCTGCCTGCACAGCAAGATGTTTGCACAGCATCTTAAAAAAATATATTCCTCATCTCCTCCAGAGATATGTACCAGACACAAGTATCCTGCATGCAGGGTCTGTTTTGGGGCCCTGAACAGGATCCCTTTGCATAACATCAGTTCAAAACAAGTGCCATAAAAACCTATTTTTTTTTTAACACTTTATTTTTCCTTTAATGATGGAGGTTGCTTAAAATTACTGCAAAAAAACATCCTCGGTTGCTCTTTGAGTTACACTGTGACTTTGATGATACCAGAAAAATGCTGCATGAGAGGTCATACGACAAGAATTTTAAGATCAAGATTTCACCTAAATGTTTCATGGGCCAAATTCAAATTTGGAACCACCTAGTCAAAGCTAACAGGCTGACACCAGGGATACGCTTGTTGCAGTGAGCTTAATGAATATTGGCTAAGTCATTAAGTTTCTTTCTATCCTTGTGGATTTCTCTTTGAAATTTATAACTGAATACCTCAGAGCTCAATTATAGGGTAAAAGAGGCAGGAATAAAAATCACAGCTTTCCTGTAATCAGCCATGTGGGATAGTTCAATCAGAGCCACATTCCCAGTGTCATAGGTCTTTCTTTTTCCTTCCTAGGAATGCTACTCAGAAAAAAACCCATCCCATAAATTCTCGAGTACAGTAACAGAGACTGCATATGAGTTTCTTTTACACAATCATCTGTAAATCACTTGCAAAAGATGAACCCTAGAAACCTGTTCACTTTTTTCCAGAGGGTAACTGCAAACACTGTCAGGTCATCGGAAAGGAAGGATAGGCAGGACTATACTTGGGCTCTGAGCTGTAGCCAAGTCATGAAAAAATCCAATGTGCATCCTCCAAAGGAACACAGCCAGCAGCCAGACAGAAGGCTGTGAGAGCAGTCCTGAAAGTCTCTGCACTTTCACTGTTATCATCATCAAGAGAAATCTGCAAAGATATTTCATTACAAAAGGTAGGAAGTGGTCTCTTTCAGGTTTGTTCTCTTACATTCACACCACATTTTTCCTTTTGCAATATTTTATGTTAATTCATTACCTAATTTCAAATGAATAGAGTAAAAAAGTGAGGAAGAGCCAGAGTACAAGTTCAGTTGTGAAGCTTGGGTTTGCAATTCCAGTGGCTTTCAGTGAGGCTGTTTAAAAAGGATTTTTTTTGTTTGATGAGGACTTGCACTGCTGCTCTACAAAATGTTCTGGTGATCCCACCAAATCTTTCAAGCCTTCTTCTGTTCAGGTGTTGACTGACATTAACTTCTTTATTCTTTCATTTTAAGGACGGTAGGTAGCTTCTACAAGCCACTACATTTATAGTCCACCATAACCTATAATAGGACACAGTGATTTGCAATTTCCCACTAAGCAGATGTAACTATATTTTAATACTTGTCAAAACGTCTGCATGTTTCTATCATAGACGGCAAATTCTATTGTTAGAATTGTTAAGTTTTGTGAATAAATACTTTCTGTTCTGGAAATTATAGTGCTTGTAAAAGCAAAGAATTGTGTCTCTTGGCAATTGCAAGCAAAATTAACTCGCTTTTCTGCAATTATGTGTGTGTACTTGAAACAGACGGGGGACACCATTTGATGTTGATATAAGATGTGCCAGCCTTTGTTTTGGGTTGTAGAGAAAGGCCAGAAATCCAGGGTGGGATTCTAAGTCCAACACATGCCTAAGGTTAAAGGACACAAATATCAATAGTCAGAAGCCATTTATCATGCTAATCCTTCCAGCGTCTCGTGACACCAGCAGGCTCTTCCAGTGGCTACTGCATTTTCCCCTTTAAACTTTTTCCCCTTTAAACTTTAAACACTCTTTACATCTGTTCATTCAGTTTAAACAATTTCCTGTTTTCCTAATAGAGGGAGAACTGATTAGACACAGAACCTATTTGCTGTACTCTGGCCAAAATTGTGGATTGGGTGGTTATTTTTATTATTTCTAGCAGCACTTCTGTAGATCCCATTAATACTGAGGCTCCCTGATACAGCTTTGGCATGTGCAGGAAGAAAACTGAGGCTGGGCAGGAAAGAGATGTAAGGAAGTAACATGAATACATGGCTGGAGCCAGTCGGCCCCAGTCTGACTCTGCACCTGCTTGGAGATGATGGGACAAGAGCCAGCTCCAACCTGGAAGCAGTCGCTGCGTGTTAAATGAGATAACCTGCCCCACAGGCAGGCAAAGTGTGCTAGTGCAGACACAGTGCTGTGCTGACACAGCCTGGTGGCTTCCAGGCATCAGTCAGCTCTGGTCCACCAGCCACAGCCTGGCACTGTGCCTGTCACACCATACCTGTGGTCCAGTTGTGGCCTGAAGCTCACACAATTGTGCCAGAAGCAGAGTATCTATGTCTCTTGCCAGTCTGCATCCCCTGCATCGTCTCCATCCTCCTCAGCATTTCCTGCGTCCCTTTCCACAGCCTACTCCTGTCATCTTTAGTTTTATTTCAATTGAGGAAAAGCTCTACAACCTAGTGCACTGAAATGAAGTTTAAGTGGTGTCTCACAGCGTCCTTCAGCAGAGGACACAGGCCTGACTGCTGGACCATGCACCCAGCAGACACGTCTCTGGCTTCCTGTGAGTCATGCCAGGCAGTGACTGCTCTTACGCAGACCAGGCTGATTTTCAGTTTTACCCTACCCTTCTGTTTATTCACAGATTTAATTTGCATGTAAGCAACTGCAGTGCTTCTCAAAAGACAGCTGAGGACCAGGACAGTCTCCTGTAGCAGCAGAAGCAGGGCTTTGGCATGCAGCAGGAAGGAGACGTGGCAGTGGGTCTAAGAAGTGCATAATGTTTGGAGTTTGCACCACAGACAGAGCTGACAGCCAGCACTGACTTCGCCTCCTCCCTCTTGCAAAGCAGGGCAAAGGAAAGCACCTAATCAAATGAGACCTGCTAAGGGGGTCAAATCCAAGAGGAAAAGCTGAGCTCTTCTCCCCAGGGTTTAAATCAGATGGTTCTTTAAGGGAAATGCTAATTGCAGACCCTGGCCCTACCAGACTGCTCTGCCCTGGGGGTGAGCCCCATATCCAGCCTCCACAGTGGGAGTGCAGGCAGGGAGCAAGGATGGACTACAGCCCAGTTTCAGTGCTTTTTCTCAAAACAAAGAAAACCACCAAGCTTAACTTGCTCAAGTAAGAACAGATTGAATTCTATTTCCCTTAATACAGAGGGAAAAATAATTTTAAAAGCCAGTTCATGTTGGGGGCTTGAAGTTGTGAGTGGGATGACTGGAGCCTTTCCTCCCTAGACCTTACTTGTGATGTGCATGGCCAAAAATGAGGGCACAGCCAAAAGGAGACTTTCTCTGGCTGCGCTGAACTGGACTAGTTCTGGTCTATCAGTCTGGAGTATCTCCTATGCCTGGTTGCGTGGCTGCTATATGCGGGACACACATTGCTCAGAACAGAACATCAACTAAATAGGCCACAGACATCACACAGACAAACAGTATTTCACCATTCATTGTGGGTGAAGCCCATGCTCTCAAAATAATACCAGGGATATGTTTTATTAAACGCTAATTGTAAAGGAGTCTTTCCCATTGTACTGTGCCATTACACACAATGTCTCCAGTTCACAAGTCAATAGAGTGTATCAGTACTCACTGGTGGCTTCTTTGCACTCCCTTGCAGTAATAGACAGGCAGCAGGGATATACTAAAAGACCATGCACTAGTGTGCATTGTGGCACTCATAGAATAACATATCCACAATTTGAGGCATATAGAACGTGACTGTCCCTCCCTCTAGGCTTTCAGGCACTGAAAACAGTCCCTTTGTTGTTTAAAGGTCTTATTTTTATCCAGGATCTCCAGACAATAATGACCGCCACACAGCAAAAGACGCACATGTACAAACATTGATTCATGGAAATGGAGTTAGGCTACCACTGTGCCCATTCACAGAGATCTGGTAACACAGCTCACTAATGACTAAACAGCTGTTTATCCACACTGACTGCAAGAGCAGCCCAAGCAGCTTTTGCACTTACATGATACAAAAGGGAAAATCCGAAATGGTCTTAAACCTGCCAGACTGGGTCCTACCTTTTCCTGAAGGGAAGAAGCAATCCATCTCCACGCTGCTGCGGGAATGGGAAATGCAGAGAGCGCTGCTGGGGACCAGACCCTCCTGAGGGGGGCTCCGCTCCGTGGTCCGGACCAAACACCAGCCTGGCCGTTCGCTTGGCCTCTCCAGCAGCTCCACCGTCTGCCCCACCTGAATGCTCAGCTCGGTGCTGTGGCCTGCGGTGAAGTCCTGGAGCACCACCGTTAGTTCACACCCTCCAGACAACTGCCCAGGTTCAACAGGGAAAAAAAAGAACAGGAATAGAAGTTAGGGAGGGCAGGATGAAGGCAATCATCTTTGCATCATATTTACACTGGCAAAGACAGGATTTGTCTTCCTTAGAAGCCAAGTTAATCATTTCTTTTGTCAAAGTTCAACATGTTGTGGCCCTGTTTTCCTTTACTTCTTATTGATTCTGCTGGGCTGAAGTGAGATATCAAAGCTACCCACCCAGTAAACTACTGAATGCTAGCTGTGGGTCGGTTTTCTAGCTGTGACTGCTCATCAGAAACCTTGCTTTTTTTTCTTGCTTTAGTTTCTGGGGTGACTTTTTAGACTGGCAATAGCCCAGGCTGCCTCTGTGCTGTGCCTCATGGCAGGACAAATTCCAGCTCACCTCTCTACAGCATGAGATAGACACATTCCCACATGCTACCACAGTAGTGAGGGAGCAGATACATTTTATTCTTTTGCAAGACAAGAAACATGCCCTCATCTTCCCAAACTTGCTTTAGGGACCTCTTGGGAGACTAGAGAATCCTGAAGGGATTCAGATCAGAAAAGCTCCTCTCATGCTCTCTGATGGAAAACAGAGGTGTAGATATATAAACGTAGAGTGATTGATTATGTGCTAACTTCCAGGATTTGTATCTAAGAATAAATGTATCGTCTTATTTCCGTACTGAGTGCGGGCAACCTGCTGCTTTTCTTCAGCCCCACACTCTGCTCTGACTCTCGATGAACAATTCTGGTGTCTGTTTAAATCATAGCCTCTATATAACCAGAGACTGGATATATAAGCACTTGTGTATACAGCAGAACAAAACAGAAGAAGTGATTGCACAAGCAGCAGAGGTAACAAAGCTTATTTTTTTACAGGTTTTGGATCTCAGAGTTGGATTCTTTGGTGTCTTAAAAGGTGTGATCACAAATTTAAGTTTTTCTGGTGTGAGGAATCTTTCTTAATGTTCCACTGCAATGTGGATTTCTTGGTGTCTGCCTCTCACTAGGGACCCTCCTTTCAGTATTCCTCCTGAACGTGCTGCTTGCTTCCCTGAAGCATGCAGGGATTTTTGTTGTCCTTATTCCAGTGTCAAGTCTGATGAAATTATTTCACTAATGCAAAAGTTATCATGACAATAGTAAATAAGCTGCTCCAAAACCAGCGTAATACCATACATCTCATTTTCTTAGAATATGAGAGTAAACCCAAGCATATTATAAAATGTTTTTAAAGAAACAACTAGTAAATCCAACTGAATTGGGAGAAATTTTGTAAGATGCTGAGTATCTCTGTGGAAACTGGGATCTATTTATCAGCTTAAATGGGGGAAATCTTGAGGAAAACCCTCATCTTTACAGACTACACTCTTCAGCTGGTACAATCTCAAAATCCCTTATCTTAGCCCAAACAGCCCTGAATGCACACTCCTGTGGAAACAGCCTGCCTCCCCACTCAGTGGCATAGGGGTTTGTGTGTCCGATGCAGGGGTGAAAGAAATTCCATTCATGGGGTGAACATTTACAATTACAGAAAGGGGTCAGTGGACAAGGACTGGTTCTCACCTGTCCTGTGTCTCTGCCGTAGACGAAATGCTAGATTTGGGGAAGAAGAAGGAAATATTTCTCTGAAAGATTATTTGTAAATAAACAGAAAACACAAACAAAACAAACCATGGCAGCTGTTCCAGGCCATTCAGACAAAGTGCTGGCATTAATCCTGGCAGAAGGAGCTCACTGGGTCGACGGAAGTGCACAACAGATCAGTTTATCACCTAGCTATGCAGTTTATCAGCAAACTCACCATTCGTCACACTGACATAATCTCCCCATAACTGGAGTACAAACATTCACACGTATGCTAAGTTATTGCTGTAATATTTGCTGAGGGTTTTTTTGCCATGGACTAATTTGAGGAGTAGGAAATCTTTCTGATCCAATATGGTATCTGACTTAGTGTGGTATGAGATATTTAAGACACAAGAATAAAACTGATAGCTTCTTGGTAAATACACTGACAAATCTTATCAAATGTGATGAATGTCCCCTAATTCTTCTACTAGTCCATGCTAGGTAAATTTTCTATCCACCACATTATGCTATATATATTTTATCTGAAAATAATTAACTCTCCTTCTTTTAGGAGAAAACGTGAATACCCTCTGTACCTACTTTCCCAGAAGTGTATTTCAAGTATCTACATGCCCTGCACTCGAGTACCACTAGGTGTCCGTGTTTTCCATCACACAGCAAGCTAATTTGCTATAAAGAATTAACTCTCATTTGCCTTCAAAGTGCTTAACCACGTATGATGTGCGGTGTCTGGGCATGAAGGAGCTGGTTCAGACAGGATTCCAAGACCCACCACTTCCAATGATATAGGCAGAGTATGTTCAGGAATATTAAAAAAAAAAAAAAAAAAATTCTTCAGACGGTTTGTGTTAATTTTTGAAAAATAAGTGATTTTTATTGCTTAAGAAGGAAAGGTGAAACAGCCCTGAAATATTCCAGGCAAAAAGGCCTAGTGAAGGCTGCACCTAAATTTGGGAGTAACAAGGTACTTCCCAGGGAGCATCAGCCTAGGAAGTGCTCCCTGCCTGCAATGCTGCCCTCCCCACTGTGAGCTGAGGGGCAGCTAACCTCAAACAAGTCTATAGCAGACCTTTGTAAATTGCTTCTCAAATAACTCAACATCTGTGGTGCAAACAGATGCTTTGACTGGGGCAACACCTGTAAACATTATCCCAGAGGAAGTAGGTGTGCTCCGTGACCCTCAGGTACAATCTAGCCCTGAGCTCCTGTTTTCTCTGATTCATTAAAAATAGTGATTTAATATAATGAGAACTGGAAGCAAACATCCCTTCTAGGAGCTGCTTGGCACCCGGTGTGATCAAGCTCTTCCTCAGCAGGGGAGATTCGCACACACATTGGCTTTAGAAGCCCACCTTTGATGTGTGAGGGGGGGAGCTAATCTCCCTCAGTCCCCTGGAAGCCATTTGAATTTCTATCACCTGCTCCTCCAACATCCTCAGGATGGAAAGATGGACTGAGGCTTCCCCAGGCTCCAACTTGCTGGTTGGTGGCAGTGCTAAAATAACACATTTTCAGGGAAAGGCCCCCTCTTTGGCAGGAGGAATTAAGCAGGTTCCCTGTTACAGGTGCAGGTGGTAGGTGCAAGCAGTTAGCTCAGGCAGGGGCCCATAGATCATTTTTAGGTGCCAGCCACAAAGAACTGAAAAGTAGCTCCTTCCTTTAGCCCAAGGACTTCCAAGTATTTGACATGTCTCTTCTGTGTCTTACGTATCACCATACCACAAACAACATTCACTTATCAAATTAACCCACAGCAAAATAAACTCTCTAAAAAGCTATATAATACTAATACATATACAATTTGTAAGTCACTGAGGAATAATGCAAATACATCTGATTCCCGATGACAGAAATCCTTTCACCTATGAAGTGATCCCTCAAGCTATTAGTTACTTCATTTGTTTTTAAAGGGTAGATTTCCAACCCCAGAGAAGTGCATGGGAGCATGCAAATTGGGCTGCTAGTTTCTCACGTATATTGCATTTAGTTTGCAAAAAGAAAGAAAATAGGTAATTCCTTTAAAGTTGAACTTCATAGGTAAATGGCTGCATGTTTTAACATGTAATGGTCACTTTTATTATTCCTGTGATAAACCCCACCATTAAAGCCACTGACTGGATACATTTAAAACCCAGACAGCAGTCTAAGCTGTGTATGGCACAACAAGATCATGGAGACACATAAAAATAAAAATAACAATGCAACATGCCTTTGCAGAGCACAAGGCATAACTGAAAGAACTGACACAGGGACAAATCTAATGAATTACACAGCAAGCAATAGCCTTTAAATCAGGAAGAAAAGGAAATAGTAGAAGCAAATAGCAAAATGTAATGAGGAAGCAGGAAGGTCCCAGGCAGTCTGAAGTGAATGTGCGGTATGTCCTGTGATAAGCTAGCAGGAGCCCCAGCCAGTCTCCACAGCGCCTGCCTCCAGCAAACCATCTCCCATCATCTGCGTTCACTTGTTCCTGGGCTAGGAAGCATCACTGTACATTCAGTGTGTGTGCATTTTCATCAGGATGTTCTACACATATCAAATCCGAGCCAGAACAGAGCCCTGCCCTGTGCCACAGTGCAGGCAGGGACCCAACTGCGTAGCCACTGAAAACTCCCCTCTACCACAGGACACTGCTCACAAACCTCTGAGCATCGATCAGAGCAATTTATGTCAGTTATGCCACGGACTCTGGTGCATGAGTTTTGTCATGACTTAGATGAGCCTTTTTGCTTCTGGAAACCAACCGAGTGCCCATCAGCTGTGGGAGGGTGAAGTGCAAGCAGCCAAAATGATCCCAGGTGTGGTCATATACTGCTGCAGGGGCACCCAGGCTGCTGCTCCAAGTGCAGGAGCCAGCTCAGTTCCAGGGACCAGCAGGTACTAGTGCAGGATTACCCTGAGATGATCTTTCCGGTATCGTAGTACGTGTGCATGGCCACCGCTGCATCTGTTCAGTTTTCAGCCACAAAGCAGCAGCCAGAGGAAGCAAGGCTGAACACCAGAGGCATATTGACCATTATACTGCAGATGGAAAACACCTATCAGGTCACAGGCTGTTCTTCCTTTCCTCTAAAATAGATCTTCAGTAGTACTAAATCTACTCCAGTTGAAAGGAAAGTGGGAATGAATAGTTCTCTTAACAGGGTGAGCAGGGATTTGGGAGATGAATGTCTGAAGAAAGTCTCCTACACCACTTCTTAAATGGGTATCTAAATGGTATATTCTGCAAATCGCAATGGCTTTCACAGTGGTTCTAAAACATGAATGCAAGATCTGAGAGGCAGAGAACCAGTAATAGTGATACCATGGCAGTTGTGTCAGCATAAGTGAATAAATGCCAGCTGCCCTGGCAAATGTAGCAGGCGTTTCAATTTTCTGTTTCTACAAGGATGCAAAATACTGGGGTGCTTGGT